TCTTTTGAGGAAAGCTTAATTAACRGAGTCATTTTTAACTATACCAACAGAAACTCCGGAGAGTTCTGTGGGGAATTGTCCAACGCTGGAAAAGGGAGATGTTGCTTAATAAGCAGTTTTCCTTTTGTGACCTCTGTCATTTTGCTGATCACTGTGCATTAACAGCAGTGGCTGTGATAACAGAAGTTATAAATTTTTCAGCTCAGACAGTCTGCCTTCTACTTCTGAGAGCTTAATCCTCCAGCACTATTTCAGGAGTTCTTGGGCCTTTATTTAGCGTTGCAAATTTTAGTCTCTAGACGCACAGAAGTGTATTTTGTAATAGACTTGCTGAAAGAAATTTGGCAGTAGTAAATATCCCTGAGGAATATTATTATTAAGTTTAGGATTTGTACAAATTTGTACAAAACAAAACGAAACTTTAAATGCAGTCTTATTTAGAAGACATTTAAATAAGTATCTGAGCTTAACTTGAATTTGTACAACTTAACTTGAAGTTTTGTTTTGTTTTGTTTTTCAGTGGAATTTTTACTTTTAAATCTGTGTGAAAGATTTCTTTGTAAGTACTTAGCTGAGTAGTAGCCAAACAGTAAAATAATCTGGAAAAGCACGTGCAGGAGAGATGATAAAATCTGATCTTTAAACATACTGTGAAGATTGGTCAACAATCAGGAGCATCTCCTGCAGAATGAGGAAAGCTCTTCAAACAGATGCAGACTTGTTGCACCAGTATTACATCTAGAATAAAAAACAAATTTGAATTTTTCCACTATTTGACCTGTTTTTTATGGTCSTCTTGGTAGCAAATCATATTCTTTCATCTGATATTTTAGTGCCTATGATTTCAAAAAGAAGATGAAGCTCAAATAACTTTGGGCCTCACCCCAGATGTGTCCTGCTGCAGACACAGACTCCAGATCCTGGAGCTCATCACAGGGCTCCCTGTGCAATGCGTGACAAAGGTTAAATCCCTCCAAATACAAGCCAAGACATTTTTAGACCACAGCCTAGTAGTTACTATCACCAAGCACCTACAAGACAGTCGTTATATGACTTCTGAGACCAAGATGCTGAGGCTCTGTTTCCTCTGAATAGTTTTTTCTCTGTGTGTTCTTTATTAGGCATTTTTGCTCCTACAGCTCTATCCACGCTGCTTTCCAACAACTGAGGTATTGCACTGATTTTTTTTTCAAATTCTGCATGATTGTCATTCATCTTTTCAACGCTATGAATCAGCCTCCTGGGGCCTTCAGGTGGAATTCTCTTAATTCAGAGATTTCTGTAAGTCCACAGCAATACCCGAGAAATTGCAGACCATCCTATCCTGGGAGACTGAACTGCGTATCATGGGGTTTGGTCAAGAGCAGTTCATCTGACAACTATAGTTCACAGTTCATCTGAGACCAAACAGAGTGTATTTAACTTGGATTGACATGTAAACTCAGGTCTGGACTTCACTCTTCACTGATTTTTCATTCTACGTATTATATAAGTATTTAGTCTAAATCACAAATCATCTGTTTGGAGATAAAAAAAAGTAGACTTTTTTGAGGAACTGGAGGGAGATGGAGGCTGTTTTGGCAGTGGTATTAAACGATCTGGCATGTAAACAGCACCTACCAGAAACCCACTAACACATCAAATATAGAAAAGTATTTGGCATTGGTCATCTTTCCAGAATACTCGGCTTGCATGTGGACTTTGTCTTCAGTGTCCTTCATGTCTCTCATCTCTTTTCTTGAACTACTTCAGAYATTTGGCTGTGCTTGCACTGTCAGAGTGCTGTCAGTCTCTGCCAGGCTACTCTGTCAGTGTAATGGGGAGCCCCTCTTTGGGAGGCAGATTTTCCTTGCTTTTTCCCAGGTTAATTCTGGATCTTCCAGTAGCATCTTGCTACGTTTCTTTTGTCCCAGATGCAAATTACAGTGTGGTCTCATGTTAAATAGTTGCTGAGCTTCCCCATACTAGCTTTGCCTCTGCCACCAGTCACAAATTCTTTTTTAGTTTCCTCTGCCTTTCTGTACTCAAAAACATATTGCTTATGGGCCTCAATTTTACCATGCACATTCCTCTTCTTTCTTCTAGAGTAAAGGTTTGTGGTTAGCTTCACCTGGCTCAATTAACTTCCATTTTATGTGTAGAATCACTTCAAGGGTACCCTGTACATGTTTTACTGTGAAAATGAGAGTCATCTTTTGTAACCTTGCTTCTTGCTTTTGTAACTCTTGCTTCTTTATTAGGTTTTCTCTTGCCTCAGTTATCCTCTCCCAAATAACCTCTCCTAACCTCTGCCAAGGAGAGCAGAGCAATCCTATTTTGTCCCCACAGGGCACATCAGCGTTTGTGAATGGTTAACTCTGATCTCAGATAACTCTTTGCCTTCTTGCAGGAAACCCAAGCCAATGGCATTATTTTAACCTTTTACCTACATARCTTTCCCAATAACAACTATCCCTCAGCTCTGCTGCATGTTCCTCCTGCTCTGAGTCGAAAGCCTGGCCTATGCTGCTAGGAAATTCCAGTACTTGTTCCTTGCAGAAAGCCATACTCCCCAACACATTATTTTGCAGACTTAGCTGCTTAAGACATCACAGCTCCAAACACATATTGCTCCAGGATGCAGTGTCACAATGGGATTGGCAAAGGAAGATTGGAAAAGAGCATGGGCCTGAGTTGCCCCAACAATCTGGCGAAATGCTGTGGAAAAAGCAGTGTTGCAAGTCAGGCAGAGGTGAGTCTCAGCCACCGCGCTGGGAGTGTGAAGGGGACAATACAAGAYGCACTGAAATGTAATTTGGTGAAGCCTCAGAAAGTGTAAAGGTCACAGAAGTCTGCTTGAGGTGTGAGAGCTTTTATCTTGTCCCTCTTGCTTGTGTTGCAAGTGACCCCTCAAAAAAAGCACCCAGTTCAGTCTAGCTGTGTAGATTTAACGTGATTTGCCAGGTCCAGATGCACGTTAGATGGGATTTACTGAATGCTGTTTAAAATACGGCTTGCGTCCATGCCAAGCTTCAGGGATCTGACCTTGTCTGCTTGCAGAAACATAATTGCTGATGAGCAATTGTGGGAAGGGCACCTCGGGTATATTGGCTGCTGCACACACAGGCCATAGACATGTGGCCAAATACATAAGGGGAGCATAAGACTGCAGAAGTGGAAAGAGCAGAGAAGTTTCTCTTAGCCTTGTTGATATTACTATTAAATAGGCAGACCATAGTAGTAGACAGGAAAGAAATAATAACGAACTGATGCCATGAAGTGGGTTGATGGAGGAGAGGCATCTTTCAAGGCTACAGCTTCCCTTTTTGAGTGCAGCAGCCAGCGGGTTACGCGGCAGGCGGGCAGGCAGCTCTGCGCCCGCGCAGCGTCGCGCGGCAGCGCCCTCGGCGAGGGCCCCGGCTCTGCGGGCCGCGGGAGCGCTGCACATCCGCGCGGCCGCACACGGCTTCGGAGCCACCACGTGGCACGCAGGAACATGCAGCGCAGTGCCTGGGGGAGCAGGATGYTTCCAGGTGGGCTCTGGAAGCCCCAGGACCCCGTCTGGTGCCACTCCACACAGCTTCTGGCTAGCTCAGCTGCTCGGTGCTGCTGGAGATCAGCACAGCKCTTCCCCTGGAGGACCAGCTCAGCCACGAGTGTCTCACGCGTTCTCCTCCAGCAACCTTCAGTAACATGGGCAGCTGCAGGCATGATGCCTAGGGCGATTGTATCAGTAGAGCAGGTGGGAAAAAAAAMMCACTGAAAATAGAGGTGTTCTAAGAAATGTGTCCACTTTGCAGCACTGAAACAAAGAGGAGACGATGGACTCCAGCCTGCAGCAGTTGCCTGCAGATTTGAGTTGTGTCACTAATGTTTTTTTGATTTGGTAAGAATGAAAAGGAAAAAAAAAGGGGGGGGGGGAGTGGGAAGAACTGTGTCTTCAGTTTTCTTGCCAAAACAAAGGTCCTGCCAATTTGCACTAACTTTAATGAACAATTCTTCTACTTTAAGTCTATTTTAAAAATAAATTAAGCTTGAAAGCATAGGTTAAAGTGACAGGCTGAACTCTCTTGTTTTGATAACACTGAAAGAAGACACTTGATTTTGGTATAAGAAAGTGTAGTCTTGAATAGATAGTGAAGTAGAGCTGTAAATTCACTGTAAACTTCTGAATAGTTTTACTGGCACCAGAGAGTACTGAGTATGTTTGCCTTAGGTGCTACTGTGCTTATGCATCTTAAGAGGTCTCTGCACTGTTCTTCTTTCCTCCCTGGAGAGATAGTCTGAGGACCACTTACACAGTTAAATAAAAGACACTTGAAGACAAACTAGAAAGGAAGCATTTCATTATGTGAAGCAGTCMAGCTGTGAAATGCTTTGCCATAAGCCACCACCTTGCCGCTCTTAATTAATGTAGCGCTTGGGGGGTTTGCTCTTGGACCAGGTGCTTAAAGGTTCTGAGTGTAAATATGTTCTCCTCCCAAGGAGCTCAGGCCAGGGCAAACACTGAAGATGTTTTGGCAGGGCAGAGGGGTGAGAAGCTGCAGCACAGCTTGATAGATGGCAGTCCCAGTATACTGCTAAATTTAGCAGTTCCTCTGAAGAGCCTTCCAGGATAAGAGCACATAAAGAATGGGCTGAGGTGAAAGGATGGAGGAAAATGTGGAAGTATTTAGGAAAGTCAGTGCTGCAGCATGGATGTCGGTGGCAGGGAGAGGCTGAGAGGGAGCAGGTCCAGATGTGGGGTGAGAGGAGGGGAGGGAACAGGTGGGAGCCACATCAGTCATTGGCGTGGGCTGAATGACCAGGACAAGCAAAGAGCTAGAGAGAAGAGCAGTRTAACAGGGAGTAAAGGCCATTAAGGACATGGGGGAGCAGCTGATCCTATTTAGCAAAACAGCCCAGGGGTGCTGGGAGTGAGCCTAGGAACRTCATCCTCAGTTGATACACTAGGTCTTAGCACAGAGGTAGCGAATGGGATTAGTGGCTCTTATCAAACCTGCCTGCATGTTTGAGGAGTGGTCCTGTTGAAGAACTCTGTGTTGATCTAGTGGTTTCCCCTGCTGGGTTGCTTGGAGGAAGTGCTGCTGCTGCTGCTTGATCTGAAAGCGTGCTGAGGTATTTTGTTCAGCAAACTAAATGTTTTTCTTGCCTATTTGTGGAATAAGCTCTTCTGAAAGACCTTGTTTTCTTTTCCTATAAAAGAATAGAGTGGTATTTCTTGTTGTAGGCTGGAAGCAAGATCATGTCCTATTAAGAGGAGAAATTTTTGATGTGATGATAATGGAGAATGAAAGGAGTGTTGTTTGGAGAAATATACTGTGATGTTTTCTTGGGTGAAAATGGTGAGCTCATGTGCAAAGTTGTTGTGGTAGGGACAGGACCCAAGTTGAAGAACGCGACACCTCTGGAAGAGGAGAGAATGCTCTTGTAATAAAGGTCATGCTTATGGGGCTGCATTTAGAGGGGTTCTGTAGCAGCAGCAGCAGCTGTTTGTAGACTAGTAGGACTAGGTTAGCTAGAGAGAAGGACTATAAAGTAGAAGGGGATACAGAATGGTGAGAAACAGCAGCATGCTAATGGATGGAAGATGAGGTCAAAAATGGGAATTGGAGASGACAATGTTTGCAAGGAACTTATTAAACTAATATTCTCCTTAAAAACCAAACAGATACAGACTTGCAGTTTTAAGTTGAATGGAGTTCAACTTAAAACTTACAGCTGAGGCACAGGTTGGATCCTTCCGCAGAAAATGAAAATGCCATTGATGATAGGGACAAAGTAAGAAGAAAAGAAGAAAAGTCTTGAAGAGGGTAGGAAAGACCTAAGTGAATTTCAGCGGTAGTTTCATCACAGCAGAGAAGAGATTGTGCAGGGCTRTGTAGGGGTGATGGAGATAGTGAGTACTGCAAATATCAGTAATGTAAGGGGAGACTGCCCATCTCCTCAAGTCTGTTCTCCTCCCTTTCTTGGACGTGATCCAGGCTGAGAAGTATGAGAAAACATAGATACTGTACTGGATTTTCAGGTCAAGGTATGTTTGTCTCTGTAAGTCTAGCTACAGTGCTCGAAGGCAGAAGCGTGAAGCATGATTAAGCGGCCTTTTGTGGGAGCACTTTCAAATGTAGTGGTATTCTTTCAACCAAAGTGGGTTGGGCTTTGGCACAACTTGGGATCACTTTGGACTTTAACTGMAAACAAAACAATGTCTGGTTTCTTGACCTCATGGTCTATAGAATACTTTTATTTGCCCTGAAGTTTTTCCTGCTTGCTCTGTGACTCCTAAACAGAGCAAGTGTTTTCCTTTTGCTCCTTTGAAACATTCTCAGGGAAATAAATGTTGATGCCAGCTTTAAGATAAAATATATGTGGTGGCAGGTAAGAGAGCTCCAGTGTTGAGAGCCTAAACACTGGCATGTTACAGTCAGCTCTTCTGTAGAACCAAAGTAAACAAAAAGGATTAGGCAGTAAATTAGATTTGGTTTTGCAAGAATACCCAAATAACCATGCAACGAAACAACTTGACAATGCAAAAATGATGCAGAGAGAGATAGTAGCCTAACACTGCCTATCCCTTCTCTTTCTCAACCTCTTCCGAGATCAAATCTGACTTAATAAAATAGTATCTGCTAATACATAATAGTTCAGTAGCTGAATTCCTGTGGGTAAATAGGCTGATTTTGGTATAAAATGTGTCATAAACCTGAGTGTTTTCAGTTTTAATAACACACATCAATTTAGCAAATGGCTTTAGAAATATACTTAGTCAAATTTATTTGTTGAGGCAAACTTTCAAGTTTTTGTGTTGAGGGGTGTCTATTTGCAAAAAACGTTGAGAGCAGAAGGTACCGAGAGACATGGAAGTGTAATATTAATGTCGTCCTGTAACTACAAATCCACTCAATAAGCCAGGAAAAAGGCCACCCAGATCGCCAGTGGTCTGGAATTACCTGGCCTATTAATGTTTGCAGTGTTGCAAGGTAAAGCTGCTAAGGTACTTGAACACCTGCCTTTCACAGTACTCCCATGGAGCACAGGATATTCTCCAGGCACAAAGACAATTCATTCCTTTTCCAAGAACTGGAAGTTAAAGGAGGCCAAGGAAGAGCATTCAAGAATGGTTGTCACTCTAGAATCATTTTCAAAGAAGTCTTTAGGATGGTCTCTATAGCCCAGTCCAGTGATACATTAGGATTTCCATGCTATTGTAACCATTATATGTGTGTTACTGCTTATGGTTAAAACGCACCTGAAAACACCTGATAAACATAGGAGAGCAGCAAGATTTGTTGTAAGATCTAACTAACTGTTTTCTCTTGGTCCATCCAATAGTGCTGGAGGAACCTGGTAAGCTTTCTGACATACCCATGCTGTGGATGAAACAGAGAGAGGAAGCCTCAGGCTATTCATAGCTTGGAAGCTATTGCTCTGAGCTACATCAACTGGCTTAATCAATTAGGCAATTAAGAAGGAGCTGTAGAACAGAGAGTGATGTTAGCAAAAGAGGAAGGGATAAAGTCAAGGGGAAGGAGGATCAAATAGACATCGCTTGTGGTAGAGAGATGGCAGAAATCTGCTGTGAAACTACCCTGAGTCTTGGGTGTTTAGTAGCTAGTAGGTCTATTAATTTTAGTTACCACATTTATTTTTAAAGTATTTTGGAGGCCTTCTTAAAGGGTCAGGATTGAGAAGAAAAAAAGTGGATTAGTTGTTCTGTAAAAGTTGTTTTTCTGCTTTGTTTCTTTCTACTTTGATAGAGCTCTCCCGATGAGTAATGACTGTGCCTGTAATATATGTGATGGAATTAATGTCCTCGATGAATTATGTTGTATTTTAGGATGTATATGCATAAAACCTCTGAATTCTGGTGGCTCTCTAACAAGAGAGAGGCTTACAAATGATGTAGATAGTCAAAAAAGAAGTATGCAAGAGAGGTTTCAGAAGGAAGCACTGGATTTCTCTAAGTCTGTAAAATGTGAGCAAGATCAGACCTGGCTGTCAGSGAGAATGTGTTGCTTGGCCAAAAAGAGAAGGACCTCTTACAGGATTCAAGTCTTRGGGACATACATAACTTGTTACTTACTCAGCTCTCTAAATCTCTTTCAGGAACACAAAATAAAACCGTTCTATCTTTTTTCCAGATTCTGTTCTTCAAGCTGAGACCAAGCAACTGACAGCTGAATGGAAACACGGCTTGCTGTGAGTGAAGGTAGGTGGATTTGCCTCCCATGGCGTTCCAAGCAGATGCTATTTGGAGGGCTGGCAGAGGGATGACAGTTTCTCTTGGGATAGGGCTCTGTGGCAGGGGGTCATTTTCTTTGATAAGTGCCAGCTAGCTCCAGCTGGAGGCCTAATGAACTCTGGTGACTTCTCAAAGCCATGAGGGGCTGGGTGGTTGCATCAGTACTTCTCTAGTGGCTGCTAGTATTTCTAGAGACAGTTATATAAAACTGTAATTATGAAATTGCCTGTATGATGCTAAGTATAGAGACAGTACAGACAAAAGCCTTCAAAGCATTTTCTATATGTATCTCAATCATACTTAACCTTCAGGGAAGAAAATCCCTGCTGTGTGTGTATATATGAAAATTTTCATGCCCTCTCAAGTTTGGAACAAAAATAGCTTAGATACAATTGGTTGCTGCATATTCACTGGAAATTATTGAAGCTATTGATCTAAGAACTATGTTTCAGTCATGTAAAACAGCGTGTAAAATACTCCAGGGTATTTTTTAAATGAATTTAATTTTCTAAATGAAGTGGCCAACACTACACTTCAGGAGTGGAGGGGAAAGAACGGCATATCTGAAACTTAGAATTAAGATGCATTTTGTTATTGGTTATTCTGTGGGAAGGAAAATGGGAGATTGGGCAAGAGAGGGCATGAAACAGTTGATTGGATTTGGATTCAAATCAGGTAACTATGTTGGAACATTCTTGGCAGTGCTCTGTGCTAATGTTCATGGTTTGCCACAATGGTATCAGAAAGACATGTATAGCACTTAAGAGCAGTCCAAACAGGCTAAAGCTGCTGTTCCATTAATATCAGACCACAGATCAGTTGAGGACATGCAAGTGCATTTCTGTCAAATGAACTAGAGCAGCTGACATGAAGTTTGTGGTATCTGTGCTCTCTGATGCCAGCTGAAGGAGGATGGGACAGTACCCAAGTCTATAGGCTGCCACCACAGAGTTAAATTGTCAGAATTTCTGAAAGAAGTTTAACCTACCAAATCCTGTGCTGGTGCCATCTGATGCAAGRTAATCTTAATTTGATAACACGAGCTGTAGAACTAGATTTATTGTATTGTGAAACTACAGCTCAATATCTAGGGTGATGACATTTGATATTATGAAAACCTCTTGAACAGTTTGTATGAAGCCTGAGATTGRGACTTGGGCCTTGAGCTGTGTTCTTGCTGACTTCAGTGGGAGCATGATTGCTGTAGTTCACATGGACAGACAGCCATGGAGAACTCCCTGCATTATACTTGGTTGCTACAAGATCCCTATAGGTCTAGGTTATGTCATCTACACTAGAAAAGCATATGTGTGCTGCACTGAATGTGCAGCATGCAAGGTAGTGTGTGATGCCTGAAATGTAACTGCAGACCAAGCCTGCACTTCAGGAGGACAGAGGGGGAAAAAGGGAGGCAGAGCCTGTCCATAGCATCTGAACCTAGTTTGTCTTGAGGAGCCAGTAGGTTTGAAGTAGGAGGTATGCAGTGTGGGCAAAGAACTTATTTAAAAGAAGAGTCATCTCTATTATCTATATTGTATAAATGAAGCACAGCTTACTGAAAAGGCAAATCAGCAATATAATTTTGAATTAAATAGTGCGTGGGTTATTGAAAACAACTTCTGAAAGCGTGTGAGAGGAGCGGAGTGTGTGCAGGGTGCACTTGTGTGCACGAGCCTGCACACGGTGGTGTGGAGGGAAAAGCACGGAGGGACAGGCTTGACTGCATGTGAGTAATGGGCTTGATTTCCAAGCTTTTCATCGTGAAACCTCTTCCAGTCTAAAAAGTTTCCTGTTCTTCCTGTCCAAAAGCAGATTTCATGGCAAAACAATTCCAAGACTTTGGCAGTTATCCAAACATACTTGGAGCTGTAGTGTTTTAGCTGATCGGCAGGCCCCTTTAACTTTTCTGTCATGCAGCCAAGATCTTGCTGTAGGAAGATAATCCYCAGTTCAGCTTTACCATCTGAGATAACTTTTCCTTAGGAAGGAATGCTGAGCTGTAGGAAAAAGAGCAYTTGGCCTTAGCGAATCTGGGATTTCTGTAGGCCACTAATGGGTGTTACAGGAACATCATTCTGCTTGAAAGCGAACAAACAGGCTGACTCTTAACAGGAGTTTAAAAATTGGATAGTAAGTTGTGTCTAAAAATGCTGGCTGTGTTTTACACAAATCACTGTAGGCAGCGGGTAGGGAGCCTCTTCCTTGWAGAGAAATGAGAAAATTCTTTAAAATATCTGTTTAGTAAGTCCTACATTATCACGCATCTTAATTGTAAGCAATAATAATGCATGTTTGTATCAGTGGGAAGAAAAGGCATTTCATGGCAAGYTGTATGAAATGAAACTGCAAAATTTTATGTCAGTTACTTATGCATTCTGTGTGTGTGTTGTTTTTTTTTCCCCCTTTGGTTACATGCACAATTCAAAAATCCCTATTCATTAAAGTGATAGGACTCCAGACAGCAGAATTGCCTTCAGGTACACAGTCTGCAAAAACAGATGTGAAAATTGTAGAGGAACTAGAACAGAAATCCAGTTCAGTTCAATTCAGATCAGTTTGGCTGTATATTAGCAAATGCATTTTGAAAATATTCAGTCTGAGATGCTTTTGGTTTCCATTGATTTGAGCTGCTGGTCCTTCTTTGCAGTAAGGTGGGTAGGAGCCGGGGTGCTGAGCAGAGCCTTGCAGGGCTGCAGCAGCCGCAACCCGCGCGGGGCGAGAGCTCAGGCCAGCCCCGCTTGCCGCCGCGGCGCTGGGACGGGGCCGAGCAGATGTTACTCGTTTCCAGTGAAAGCAGAAGCTCTCACTCAGTTTGTTGTTGTTTTACTGAATGGTAGCYGGCGGGGAGCTTATGTCACTAAAATAACAGTAAAAAGAATTTAAAATCACTTTGCACGTAAGTCTGAATACAGATATTATCCCCTTTATGACTACACTGTCCAAACACTCAGCTGTTGTGGGTTGTACTCATTGAGTTTGCTAGGCTCAGGCTATTGGTTTCAATTATCAATACATACAGCTTCCAGAAAACTGTAACAGTTGAATAGTTGCAGTGGTTTGGATACAGATGTCTACATTAGCTTATGTTAAAAATTGTTGTATTATACAAGTACCTATATCGTATTTATYGTTTTGGTCTTGGAGAGGCTGCTTAGTCTTGAACACGATGGCACTGTCTGGTAATATCGAAATATATTTACATACAAAATTCCTCTGGGCTAAATTACTATCTATTTTATAATCCTAGAATTATTGTGCACTTCCACTTTTATCTCTTGGATGATTTGTACTGAAGTGACCTCGATCACCAGAACACGTAGCTTTTTTTCCTCTCTCCCTTCCTTCCTTGGGGATGAGTCTGACCATAACTTGGCTCCATTCAAAAGAGCAGTGCTTGTTTTCTAAAGACAGCTGGRTTCTCACAGAGCGCCCTTAACTGCATGAAATCTCTGTACTTATTTTTCATCGGAGTTCACACTCTGCAGATTTTTATAAACAACACTGAATATCAAATATTGAAGTAACTGCAAGCAATTGGTTTATAAGTAACCTGGAGTGATTTTTACCGTCTCTGGAAGGACGCAAATTTTCAATTCATTGCATTCTTTTTATTAGATAGCTTGGGTGGGGTTTAAAGTAGGTTTTTTTTTTTTTTGCTCAAAATGAACATGACATGTCCTGCTTGTGAGMAAGCAGCATTGTATGTATACATTAAATTTATATTTGCTCATTTTTTACTAGTTCCTGTGTGACCTGACTGTGCCTGACTGCCTCTCCCTCCCTTCCTTCCCCAGTATTTTCCAGGTAAATCTCAAGTCTAAAAACAGTGCGTCTCATGTTTTTTCCCAAACTCTGCTTTTCCTGTAATGATAACTGCAGTTTTTCTAGTGTAGTAATGACTCAAGGCTGTGAACACCAGGGTAAAGAACCAGGGAACCTCGTGTCATGTAAGAGTCTGTCCTTTCCTGCTTTCAGACAACCCTTGCTTGTACGAGTCCTTTTATTCTTGCCTTCATATGAACTTTATGTGGGCTCTTCTAGATCTTTTTCTGACACAGTGCTGGTTTTAGTCAACCACATGGATGCTGCTGCTTGGTTAACTCTGCCTTCTTAGGTCTTGGTGCCATAAGATAACACTCTTTCTGAAACTTCAGCAGGTCTCCATGCTGGACAGGAGGCTTATCTRTAGTGAATTAGAACAAGATGGAGGTTTTGTCCTGAAGAGAGAATAATTTGAACAATGTTTCCACTATATATTTTCAAGTTCAAATGAGTTTAAATTCTTTTTTTCTTTTTTTAGCACAAGTGATCTCTGTATTTTACCTGAACAATTCCTTACAAAAAGACAAAAATTAAGTGTTATCACTGAAACCCCAGACCAAATGCAGCTTTCTGTTCAAGGTTTTGAAGTAAAATACTGTATTATTATTTTGGTGGCTTGGTAGGTTTGAAAAGGACATTCAGTCTGTTTTCATCCATCCAAATTTGTTCAAAGCTTTCCTTATATCGTTGAATTGTCACTAACTGCAGTGAGTTGTCCTGGATTTATGCAAGTATGTCTGACATATTCTAACACTGCTTGTTATTCTGGCAGCTTTGAAGAGCCCTGATTGCAGATAAGGATCTTCTTATGCTAGGCGGCATGCGAACAGAAAGCAGAAGAGATGTCCCTCCTCCCTTCAGATAAACTTTCACCTAATTCAGGCTAATCCTGGGAAAGCCAGGTTCTGCTCCAAGCTTTTGGTGAGCCTCCAGAGGAACAGGACCCAGAAGAACGTTGTGTGATAGCTTGGCATAAGTCAAAGCACGGCCATACATTAGCTGTGGTGTGACTAGCCACTGARTGTTCAGGCTCAGCTTTCTGCCTTCAGTGTTTGATTTCTGGTTCTCTGTTGGAGAAGCATCAGACAAATCCTGGATTTATCATACAAATCTCTAAAGGAACAGAAAAGTTTTCAGGACGCAAC